ATGCACTCAAGTATATGTAAAAAGAAAATAAATAAAAAGGACCAGTGTTTAGGATTTAGTGGCATCCGGTGGTGAAGGTGCAGAGTGCAATAATTTGAATACAGCTCACCCATCCAAGGGTGTAGGAGAAACTACGGTGGCCCCAAAATCGTGAAAAACACAAAAGACCCTATTCTGAGCCGGTGTTTGGTTTGTCCGTTCTGGGATAACTGCAGAAACATGGCGGTTCAAGATGGCGGCCTCTGTAGAAGAGGACCCGCCCTCCTTGTAGATAAAAATGTCTCATTCTAAGTAAACGAAAACACAACAATTCCTATTTTCAGGTTTTTATGCACTAAAACATATCTATGAATATTATATTCTCTGCCGATAGCGCCACCTAAACGTACATACTGGACCTTTAAATCACGTGAAAGCCAAAAACAGAAAAATACATATAAGTAGAGAGTGAAGTAAAGCATAAAGACCTTTTAGCTATGCGTCAGATGTTGCTGAAGTGTTGTCTGGTCACGGTCAGGCCAGTCCAGTATCATCTCTCAGAAGAAAGTTTTGGCACAGATGGTGTCTGGCTGTGCAGGCGGCAATCATGATTGTAATTTCAACTTAATGGCTCCTCGTTTTCATCAAGTCTTATAAAATGTTTGTTGATGGGTATTTTTGCATCACTGTTTTTGTCACCAAAATGAGCACTGTCACACACCGTTGCCCCCGTACAAAATCAGCCTCCTACCCATACTGATACACACACACACACACTTGTGCACACTGTGGCTTCCTATAGTCTGTTCAGCACTAATTACTGTTCTATAAAATGTACAAACGCAGCAGTCTGTGTCGGCTCCTTTCTCTAGGGACTTGAGTTTCTTTTAACTTCCAGCTCATAACAGTTCAGTAAAGGTATAGGCTGGAGTATCAATCATCGCTCTCAAAGTGTTTCTCATACGTGAAATCAAACGTTAACATGGCTGCCTAAAGACTACAGCAGGTCCTTCTGATTATAATGTAGGAAGCGTCCGTGCCTGTCCAAGTCTCTTATTGCAACACTCAGTCTGAGCACTGATTGTTGCAAATTATACTCCATCAAACCACACATAAATATACAAGTTATATAAGTTGCAAGGAGGTAGCAACCATTGAGGACACCAAGGTCCTCTGTTACATTTCAGACAATTTGTAGGGTTAAATGACTGGATAATTGGAAATGGACTCATTTGTGATTTTGGTATGTACAGTGACCAACAAAAAGGTTCCCAGGAAATTCTGGATTTTTTTAAAGTAAAAATGTAGATAACACATGATCATGTTTGGAAAATATTAAATAAAACCCTGCTTTTAGCAAAACATTCCACAATCAGGGAATTTAAGGCATTGGCAGGTTTTAGAAAATGTTGAATCTCTTGTGCTAACACGAACCAGACTTCACTATACTTACGCCTAAAGGAATTTAAAGCTTTTGTTGGTTTGTGGTTGCACTGAAAGATGGATGGGTTCCCTGTAAGGCTTACACAACGCGCTAACTCCATACTGTACGAATTAGCTCTGATCCGTAGAACTACACTTACACACTGAATTAGCCTTTTACACCTGTTGTCATGAAGACAGATGTTCTGCTTTCCTCTCCACACACACAGATTAAATTGTTTCCCCTGGCAAACTGGCAACAAGGTGGTAAGTGGGCTGAAAATACTTCACACCTTGAGTTTTTCTAATAAAACTGTTATATTACATATTTTCTTCTCTTTCTCCTTCAATTGTATAAATCTATTTCTCCCATTTTTCTTCTTCACTTTCATTTTCTCATCCCCCCCCATCAGTGAGAAGATAAACCTCAAGTCCCTGGAGCAAGAACCTCCCACGGACATTAATAACATTTATTTTACATGTTGCAACAAGCAGCAGCGACAACAGATGGCCAACTCATCTCATTGTTTCTGTATTCATTTAATGGTCCCACAGAACATGTCTGTAAATCATTTAGGGTATTGGGGATTAAAACCAAGAAACCATATCTACTACAACAACATTATATATCCTGTAATACTTGGTTGGGGATTTGTTCAAGAAATCCTTGAGCTCCAGTTTTATGTTTTTGTCATCATAAATTAGTCACAAAAATTTATATTTTTTGTCTTATTTCTAGGAGACTAATGCTACATTGCCCATATCACTTTACACCAAGGACTTGTGATAAGTGGTAACATTTGGTGCCTTAGCCTCTGCACAGCCACAAAGTATTTTCCTTTTCTGGTCATTTTCTTCCAAGGATTTTGTGTGTGACGCAGATGCATGAGGCACAATGTAAACTGTATTATCTCTTCTGTTGGTCCCCTGTGATACAACCAGCACATGCGGATAATACACTTTCATTATCTGCACTCACCCTGACATTCAGTGGTGCTCCCACACACTGATGGATACACACTCAGTCCATTCCAACAAAAACTTGCACACTATAAATGTCAGGTTGTGCATCTTAAATGCCCTTTAATACCTACAAACAGTATCGCTGCTATGAAAAACATTATTTTTGCTAATGTTGATTCTCAGCTATCAGCTGACTAGAAAGTAGCAGTAATGTTCAACATAGTCACTTTTACTACATTTTTATATTTTGTTACATTAGGTGATCACTTTAACACACAACTGTTTTTTTACCGTACTGTGAGAATCAGCTGTCAGTAGACTTTTACTGACATATGACAGCCGCATAAAAATTAGTATTTAATGTACATTAGGTCATTTCCTAATGTTTTCCAAGATGTTTCTTAAAAAATTTAATTTGATACTAAATAAAAAAATAACCAAAGTGTTCAATTGGTAAACTTCCATTTATCTATTTCAGATGAATTGCTGAATAACCAGTCTTTAAGTCAGTGAATGCTGTTCACTGACTTAAAGACTGTCGGTTCAGCAGGTTGAACACACAAAAATGTCAAATTTACTATATAATAAATTGATACGTAGTAAGGTTTAAATACATTTCTTTCAATGACACTTCTATTTCTTCTATAATTACTACAAAATACACTTAATCACCAAAGAAACTATTAAGACATTATTAGGAAATGACAGATCTGTAACATAGTGTTACACTAGAACACAAAGTACCAAAACACAAGTTATTGCTGCTCATTGAACAGACCACCAGCTATCCTCACCATGTTTGGCTAAGCTGAAATTTGCTTTTCATGCATAGTAATATAGTGTAGTGGAGTTATCTTATTCATCCAGGTAATGCAATGCCAAGTCAGAATGAAACTACCCACTTCTGTGAAACTGAAGCTTTTTGTCTTGGCATAAGAGAGAATGTTTTTGCCAGAAACCTGTAGCCAACTCCACTTGGAGAAGACAACATGGTGCCAGTAGTGGAACGACTGGCTGCGAGTGTTGTATCTCATTCACTGGGATTCATAAGTCTTAGCAGCTCCTGATAAGTCTGTACTGACAACAAACCTGACAAATCTGTCAAAAACAGACTGTTGGTGATAATCAGCGCTGCATAATGTGCTGTACTGCTCGTGGCTTTGTTGTCACTGTCTGAATAACATCCAGACAGGGCTGTTAGCCGTCAGCACTGATAATGTAATACATATTTCTTGAGACCACACACCCTGCTCACATACTCTCATTTTTTGTTAACACACACACACACACAC